ATCTCACGAAATTTCAATGAACCCCGTTCTGTCCCAATATAACCCTCACCAAAATATAAAAAAGGTTATATGGGACAGAATTATTCGGTCTAGCATTGCGGCTGCCAGCAGTAAATTGACAGTTTGACTGATAATGACTAATGTAATGCACTAATGGCAATGATTACAGATTAGAAAAATTCTCAAATCCATTATTTTATTTTAACATAAAAATACCTGATTTTTATTGTCAGTATTTCTAGATTTGTTTGTAATGAAGTTGGTTTCAAATTAACATAGGTTGGTGTCTGGTGCGGGCGACATTAAGCTAACAAAGGATGGAAACGTACTTCTCCACGAAATGGTAATTATGGAAAAGTTTGTAAAATAGTTGTAGTATTTTTACGCAGAGTTTTGACCGTTTACAACGTTTCTAGTTAAAAGTGCGTTGGTGAATGCGATTTTGCAACAAGTCCAGTGTACATAGACGAATTTAAAGGGTCAGATTCTGTCGGTCCCGCACTTGTCCAGTCCTAAGTGGTTCTGCACTAAAGAGTTTCGACTGTATCGAGTTAAAACCTGCGTTGGAATGTGTTAGATGTAATGTTTCAGCAAATTCAGCATCCGACGGCGTCAATGATCGCCCGCGTTGCGACGGCACAGGATGACATCACGGGCGATGGCACGACCTCCAACGTGCTCATCATCGGCGAACTGCTGAAGCAGGCGGACATGTACGTCAGCGAGGTATGTAGGAGGCGCCACCGCTCGCGCGAAGCGTCGCCGGCAACCACCACGCGCTCCTCGTGACGTTCTTCATATCATCTTGGATCCCCTGTCCTTTTACATTACCTGTGGCATTACCTTAACTGTCAATTTATAAACTGTCGTCGCTCTTCTTACTAACCAGTCCGGAACTCGTAACTTTTTGGGCAGGACCGGCTACATTTTATAGATCTTAGTGTAGGTCATATATAGGGGAAAGAAATTTCGAACTGGGGCCTGGCTCGGTTTTTCTGCCAAACTGCCATGTTATCGACTTAAAAAGAATTTGGCAGTTATATAATAATAATTATATAAAGCAAAAATCCAAATTTTCAAACTCTGGGCTTGGCGCGTTTTTAGACTCATTTCTAACACTGCCAAGTCTTCGACTTGGAACGAATGTGGCACCTACCTTACCTCCGCGAGAAAGTTACTTCCATCCTCTAAGCTTCCCTCCATGTTTATTACATGTAATTCAAATACACGTAGAGTGTCCCCTGACCCTCCTTCCACGTTTGCGTCTTGCTCAGGGTCTGCATCCGCGCGTGATCACGGAGGGCTTTGAGCTCGCGAAGGTGACAATTACCTTACCTCCCCAAGAAAGTTACTTCCACCCTCTCACCCTCCTTCCGTGCTTCCTCTTGCTCAGGGTCTGCATCCGCGCGTCATCACGGAGGGCTTTGAGCTCGCGAAGGTGAAGGCGCTGGAGGTGCTGGACCAGGTGAAGGTGTCGATGGAGATGGATCGAGACACGCTGGATCAATGGTCTCGCGCACCCTCGCTGCCCGCGCAGCAAAGCTCAGCAGGAGATCGGCCAGAGAAGATGATAGACTGTGGTGCGTCGAGTGATGCTGCGGCTGGGGTATGCAGTGCCGTGCGTGCGTGGCGTGCGGTGTGTGTGGGGGGGGGGGGATGCATGTGGTCAGCTAAATCGCTGTGATGTGTGGTGCGTGACCGAGCGTGTTGTTGATGGGTGATGTGAGACCTCGTGTGAATTGTTGTCAATAGGTGGCCCCCGTTCTGCACTATGTGCGGAGCCGGGCAACCACTAAAGCGGCCCCCTGCCCTGGAAAACTCCCGAGCCTATCTAGTGTGTCTGCAGGCATCTGCCCGCGCCTTCGCTCGTCGGTGGCTCTCCACCCACGACCTCATCCCCACGTACCCACCCGGCTGTCCTGTACCCCACCCAGGCGCCACCCCTCGCTCGCCCTCGAGCCCTGTCCCTCATCCACAGCAATCAGGCGCGCGAAATAAAATACTTGCCCTCTGTTCTCCGTTAGGCGCACACCGACCTCCGCCCCAACCACGCCGCGCTACCACTCGACACATCTGTAGTGCCGCCCCCACGATCTCACACCACAACGAACACAAAACATTAATTTCGGTTTCGCCAAACATAAAAAAAAAATCACAATTCGCTTCGCCCACAACAAACATCCACTACACAACAACAGACATATACGAACTCCCCTATACACTACGCATTTCGGGCCAAAACAAAATAAAAAAGATTTTTCACCTACCTACCTACTTGGTACCCTGTGAGGCGAGTAGGTAAAGGGGAAACAAGGGTAGCCTCATACTACACAGAGATAGAAACATAGGTGTTCCAGGCAAGATTGCCGCTCATTCTGCATGAAGCAACAGACCTGAAAGCAGTGTTCGTGTTTAGCTTGAAGTCGTTGGTCGTGGTAGCTAGTTTACAGCCGATTCCTAATGTATGTTCCCGTGTTTTTTGTAGATCATAGTCGACGCGGTTTTGGCGATCAAGCGGGACAAGCAGCCGATCGACTTGCACATGGTCGAGATAATGGAGATGCAGCACAAGACGGAGCAGGCCACGCAGTGAGTGTTGAAACATAATCATCATGCGCGCTATTATTATCAGGACCGCCGCTTAATCGGGACATTTTCCGTGATTTCCGACTCGTCCTGATAAATCGGGGGACCACTGTATTAATTTATCGGTTTACGAGGGTGCAGAGTCGTCGTGCGAGTACGGAATGCGTCCTCGTTACATGTGTGTGTTTCAGTGAAAAAAATACACGGGGTCTCGGGGCGATTTAGCCCCCAAAATGCCAAAAAGAGCCCCGGAAATGCCAAAAAGAGCCCCGGAAATGCCAAAAAGAGCCCCGGAAATGCCAAAAAAGAGCCCCCGTAAATTTGCATACAGTTCAATGCAAACCAAATTTTAGCGTGCTATTTTTATGCACGCGAGCTTGAAAAGTAGCCCCCGAAAAATACATTTTAATTTTTTCCCTGGTGTGTTTGTGCGTGCTGGTTCGTGGCTTGGTGATGGACCATTATACGGACATTTCCATAGTTTTTCACATGTTCTGATGAAGCTGAGTACCACTGTATTAAATTGATCGATTTGCGAGGGTGGATCGTTGTGCGAGTATTGGATGCGTCATTGCTCATGGGAGGTCGACTCGTGTGTCATGCGTCTAAACAGACGAAATTGCTCCGACCTGTGATTGGAAGATAAAAATAGACCCCACCCACTCCCGCCACATACGCTATGCTATTACGGGTAGGAACGTGTACTAACTATCATATGGAGCGAACGATTTGAGTTACATTTCTATAAATTCTAGCTATTATAGACACATGTCGTAGCCTTAATCTCTGTGAATTTTGAGTCTATTGAAGCGCGATTAGTCTAATTAATGAGCAAATATGCACGCGCAGCTATGACCGGTGAAACGAAACGTCACGAATTCTATTTTTATCCTCCAAAAATGGAAAAGTGGGCGGGGTCTATTTTTATCCTCCAATCACAGGTCGGAGCAATTCCTCTGTTTAGACGCATGACTCGTGTGGTTGCTAGTGGCTTCATTGCTCATGGGGGGGGGGGTCGACTCGTGTGGTTGCTCGTGGCTTCATTGTTCATGGGTGCTGTTTGCAGGCTGGTTCGTGGCTTGGTGATGGACCACGGCGCGCGTCACCCGGACATGAAGAAGCGTGTCAGCAACGCCTTCATCCTCACCTGCAACGTCTCCATGGAGTACGAGAAGAGGCAAGTACCGTAGACTGCCGACGCCTGCCGCGTTCCGTGTACTCTCTCCTGTGTCGACGGACGTCTCTGTTGAACGGACGGCCGTCTATGAATAACGCATCTGGGTGTTTTCCGTTTATTGGCGGTTATATAGTGAAGCAGAAATATATAGAACAAACAACGTGTTTTTAAAAGACACTAGGGTGTTTGTGTAGAGTGACGGATGGATACAATGAAACCACTTCTATGGAATGTGCATCTATCTATAAAGAACACTTTTGACATTTTTCTTGAGTGGCAGTGATAACAGTAAAACACCACCTCTGTATAATGTAGCTCTTTATAAAATTGACAATTTTTGGGGGGTTTCCTTTAAATTGACTACGTCACGAATTTTCTATGGTAAAATTTGTAAAAAAAAATTCCCATTTTTTTACATTAAAAGTAAGAACTAACGGGACTAAACAAATCGTCAAATTCTTACTTGATAAGATTGTTTCTCAACTAGTTAAAAATCCTAAAAACCGATTTGAATTAATGTTCCTGACATTCATTGCTTGCTATGGGCTATGTATGAGTCACGAGTGTATGTTCACATCGAACAATATAGTAAAACAGGAAGTATAATGCAGCAATTTAACCATAAAAAGTGAACAGAATTACTTATATTTTGTGAAGTAGAAATTGTTTTTGTTTTTTTTAGGTGCTACTTGCCTGTCAGAGGGGTGTCAGAGGCTGTGAGCCTTTTCTACAGGCAAGTAGAAACTGTAGGCAACACTCTGACGGCACACAATATGTTCCGTCCGGCGGCAAATGCCCGTCAGTTGCCGTTGTAAAATTCATCCAAGCGATGATATATGACGCATGACATGATTGATGACATCAATGATTAATGACAAGACCCAAGGAGTTAAATAACAAGCGAGAGAAGCGGATTGCTGTATGGCTTTTTTCGCCTCAGGGCGGCACACTCTATGACCATACATCAGCTGAAACGGGCTGTGCAGACCGAAGCCCAGAGACAATTAGAACACTATCTGTTTCCTAGGGTCTCTGCCGAACCCATTTTGGCCAGATATGGCGCACTTTCTCTCCTTGTTATATTTAGCCGCCTTGACAAAGACGACGACGCGACAGCTGGTCATTTTGCCCTTTTTTGGTTGCACTTTGCGTACGGACAAAGAAGAAAGCAAAGGCTGCTGCGAAGTGTGCTATGAAACATGCATACGCATACTCTTGAAGGAATACACCAGGAAGTTGTGGAAGATAGAAGATAATCGACAACACCAACAACAACAACAACAACAACAACAACAACGACAACAACAAACACAACAACAACAATACTACAGAGAGCAACAAACAACGCACACAACACAACAAACACAACAACAGACTACCTTCTGGTGATGACGACGGAAGCCACTTGTCGTTTCGTCGGCACATCTCTCTTTCAGCGGGCGATTAACCATTCTCCACGCGATCCTTGATGAACTGCCTTCGTCCGTCCAAAAGGCTTCTCCTCTTCGCTCCGCGGACTTGTAGAGAATGCCAGCGTTCAGCCTCACTGCGCCGCCGAGAAGAGTACAGAGAGAGAAGAAGTCCACGCTGTAGATTTTGCACGTCACTATGCTACTTTCAGTTATATATATAATGACTAATATACCTTATATTCAGCTCGTACAACAGTTTTCGTAACGCGAGGCGTTAATTGCCTGGCCACTTCGTATATCCAAGTTCTAACCTATTTTGTGTGATAAGTGCGATACAAACACAATGTTTAGGAAGATAAGTGCACACAGTTTGACATTACTATCTGCACGTGTAGAAAAAGAGAGTATAGATTGGCTCTAAGCTTTGGCAAGTTCCTAGGCAACTGGGCCATCTGGATTCTGGTCTTTAAGGAAGTCGTGTTACC